GCTCCTGGAAGAAGGCAGGATGTAAATTTCATAAATCATATCATCAAATATATATCATTCTCAGTTAAATAAGGACATATTTTTAATTCATTTCATAAATATAAGTACTATCATATTCATAGCATAATTCCCTGCGTATCTCAAGCAAAAGACTTTGGTGTGATACTGAGTGTCAAAATAGTTACTGCAGGATTAAACAAGGCAGAAGTCTATAATCATATAAAATATGGCTAACGCATATAGATAAAACTTTCAAAGTTTATGTAAAAAATAAACTGTTGGATGTAGCTTTAATTTTCTCACTGTATATATAAGAAGGAAGATGGGAGAACCAAATCCAATTGGGCAGCTTAACCTACTTAAGGCCATTTCTGGGATGCTTGGAGGATTCTTGTCGGAGGACCAGGGGATTGTACCAGAAGACTTTTAAAATTCCTTCCCACCCAATAATCCAATTAAATTTTCTAAATTATAATATTAATTTTAATCATTCCTATGCCTCCTTTTTTTTCAAGGATGGGGAAAATCAGTTATCAATAAGTGGCCTTTATTGCTGGCAAATTAAGAAGAATCCATCTGTGCCTGCAGTAAGGACTTCGAAACTCTGAGTATAATAATCAATAAATGATAAGATAGACGACAGTGAAAATAATGCATTTGTTGTACGCAAACCTGTTTCAGTGATGGGGGTTTGCATTTGGAAGGTTTCTTTGAAGTTCAGGAAAGCCACTAAAGCTAGACCTGTGGTCTGAGAATGATATTTTCTTGTAAATCATGGCATTATTATTTAAATCACACCTTTATAATTTCAAGCTTAGCTATCTTTTCAAATGTTCATATGCTGTTTCAAATGTCTAAAAACAGTGGGACAAAAAGAAATAACTTAGCCAGCATGGCTCACTGATACCACCTACAGCTACATGAAAAACGAAATCATCTGCTACCAGTCTAAGAAACAAGAAAAAGAGATTCTGGCTGTCAGCAGAGGAGAAAAAGAAACCCTTACTTTTTAAACCCACAACCCTAAGTTTGTGACCACAAAGGGAAATGCTGACTTTTTTCCCTGACAGGAAGATACAAAAATATACTCATTGTGAACATTATTATGGTGCCTTTGCTGACTATCAATCTCCAAGGTTTCACAGGAAAGTATTTACACCTTAAATTCAATATGTACATTGTCAGTTTTCCAGGGCACAGAGGATTAGTTATTTCTATAAATGTAAATGTAGGTGTGACATTGTCAACCTGATTGGAAAATGTAAAAAAAAAAAAGAAGCTGTCCTTTTCACACTAACAAGTTAACTGCAAAGAAAATATTGCTGTGCTGAAGTGGCAACTCTGAAGAATGGGTGGGGGGGAATGAATCCCCCATATGTATGCTATGGGTAATAGATTCTCTTAATGTTCTACGATAGAACATTAGCTCAAACCATTGGATATGCCAAGTTATCTCCAATGTAACTCTTATTTGAGAGTGGGAAAAAGATGCGTCAACTGATATGCATGCATAGTATGCGGAAGTGAAGGAAGACTGCAGAGAGTAAAATACATGTGCATAATTACTGTGTGTACAGTTGTTTTTCCATGTCACGTACTTTCAAGAGGATGAAACAACACTGCATAAACTAGTCAACATAAATCCATTGACCCTCAATAATGGCCAACAGTTCCCCCACGTTCTGGAAGAGACAAGAGACTTGGTCAGAAAAGCAAGGACATTAAAGACATAGACTTTCTGAGGCAGCTAAACAAGAGCCAAAAAAGACAAAGCAGACAAAAGAAAAATAAAGAAATGGGTTTTGCAAATCTCTAGCTTTTAAAAGCATTCAGAAGTCCTCTTTTAAATCCTGCTGTGGCACCTGAGATCATATGAATTCTGAATTATTTGTTTCTCACCAAGGATTATTAATGCCAATCTCTTTGCTCAATATATATTGGCCTTTGTGGCATTCCCTCTACTTATTATTGGCTTTGTAGCTTAAAGAATATGGCAAGTATAATTTGCATCTTTCTTCTTTCATATATTACGAATATAAAATCTAAAAGAAAAGCACACTTTACAAGCAATCATTACACAGAGATATGCACACCCACTCTTCTTGTCTTTGCAAGGCTAAAGGACAGGCAGATACACTATTTACAATATCAGTGCAAAGCAGTGCCTCCAAGCAGATGAATGTCCACAACTCCTTCAGTTTCCTGACTTCCATTCTAACTCTTCCAGTAAGTAGTATGCAGTTCTAAACCCTGAAGATATGAAATGAAGATCAGCCAAATCAGATCTCATGTTTTTAAATATGCATACATATCCCATTTGCATAGAATGCCACAGCAAAGTTCTAGGTTGACAAGCAAATTTGCTGATAAAAATGGAAGCTGAACATTCTAGCTTGTCTCTCTTCTCTAGGAATAATAATGTATCATTTGTTACGGAGTCTGACTTGTAAAAGAAGCAACAGTTTAGGGTCTGAGACCAAATATAAGACTTAACTTGTGGCTTTTTATCTTAGCAGCTCCTCATGGGCTCATATCCTTTTTTATTTTCTCTGGAAATTCATAAACATAGTTACTCAATACAAATGTAAAGTAAAGCTACATTAGCTGTGGCTTCTGTGGTTTTCTGTGCTTGTACAAAGCGAAAGAAAATGAGGAGCTGGGACATTTTTTTGAATTCCTAAATTAGATTTTGTTCATCTGAATGTGGCCATTAAAACATACTATATGCAATTCCCCAACCCCAAACAAAACCCATTCATATTTTTTTTTAATCAGAACTACCTGACAATTGTTTTGGGGTGCACAATTATTACTAGATTTAGGTTTGCAACTATGCAGTGTGTGAAAATTGTTTTCTTTGACCTCTGATCCTCTTCTATAAAATGGGGACAGTCACTTTCTGACTGGGCTCTAGAGCTAGGGCATATGAAATAAAAGCTAGTGACAGTAATTCATCTATACAGTAGATGAAATATAAACAATGGCAATGTACAGACATGCATTTATTTTAAAGATATTCATATGAACAGCTCCTTATCAATACAATACTATATGCTTTGTGTAAGAAAACCTGTATCCTGCTTTCTTCCTCTTTCTCCCCCCCCCCATAATGGCTTCTATCCTGTTTGTTTCAACTGCCTTGTCTCCCAGGGCAATCTAATGCATATTAGAAGATTGACACGCTAAGTTCATTTTATTGCCCTGTATGCATTGCAGGATGGCAGTTCTGGTTTCTGACTGAAAAGGTAATATGCTAGTAGATTTATATCATCATCATCATCATCATCATCATCATCATCATCACCACCAATTATCATCTTGATTGGTTGACTTAGCCTTCCATCCCTCCGAAGTCAGTAAAACGAGGACCCAGATTGTTGGGGGGCAATATGCTGACTCTGTAAACTGCTTAGAGCCGGGCGTAAAGCACTGTGAAGGGGTATATAAGCCTAAGTGCTATTGCAATTTTCATCTTCATCATTAGCACCCACTTTAACTTTGCTAAACCTTCCGTTCCACCCCATTTCATAAGATAAATTATTACCAGCTAGAAAACACTTTGCTTAACCAGCCACCTGCTGCTTTCATTTTATTTTTCTTTGGGGGGGGGGGGAATAAGCTAACGGGAAAAGTGAAATAAGCGGATCCTACAAGTTATTTTTTTACTCCAGAAAGGACGTCTGTCCTTTTGATTGGGAAGAGCTGGCTATAAAGGAGGCTCAGCTCACAAACGGACAAGAGCAAGACGAAGAATTAACAACCGGTCTCCTCTCTGCGCTCTTTCCAGGCTTCTCCTCTGTCCCACCCTCCTTTCTGCCACCAGTCTGTGCACGCCCAGTGTGGCTCCTTGGACTGAAATGTTTTAGCGCAGGCAAGATTGTCCTTCCACAGCTGCCTTTTCCTTCCCGTCCCTAAATTCTGAATCAAGCGGGGTCCCGTGCTTGGTGTTTTCTCTCCTTCTCCCGTTGAGGGGAAAGAGAGAGCGAGAGAACTGGACGGTAAAAGCGCCTGGTCGGAGAGGATTTGGTCTCCCGCTAGCCACTGAGCTGGAAGAGTTGTATAAGAAGACTGTCTGTCTGTCTATCTGTTTCTGTCTCTCTCTCTCTCTCCCCCCCCCCCCCCTCCTCCCTCTCCCCCCTCCCTCCCTCTCCCTCTCTCTCTGCCTCTCTCCCTCTCTCTCCCTCGCTCCCTCCCTCTCTTTCTCCCTCGCTCCCTCCCTCTCCCACTCCCTCCCTTGCTCCCTCCCTCTCTCTCTCTCCCTGTCTCCCCCTGGCTCACTCCCTCTCTTTCTCCCTCCCTCCCTCTCCCACTCTCTCCCTCCCTCCCTCTCCCACTCTCTCCCTCGCTCCCTCCCTCTCCCTCTCTCTCTGCCTCTCTCTCTCTCCCCCACTCTCTCCCTCCCTCTCCCTCGCTCCCTCCCTTTCCCTCTCTCTCCCTCCCTCCTTCCCTCTCTCTCTCTCTCCCGCCCCCTCTCCCTTTTCCCTCTCCCTCTCCCACCACGCCCTGTGACCTCTGAGGGCCCTAGAGGTACTCTTGGAGTGGGGGGGACTCCTCTTGAACCCCCAAGCGAAACATTACTCGACTCTTCCCACCTTCTTTGGTCCCTGCAGCGTTTCTCCCCCGTCTCTCAACTCGTTCCCTCTCGAGTCTTTCTCCCCGACGCCAGCCTAAGAAGCGCCCGGCTGCCCCGCGTCCCCTCTATGCTCCTCTCTTTCTGCCTCCGAGCCCATCCTTTGGCTCTCCCATCCCGCCCGACGCTTGCTCGGCCATTCTCCGGACTTCCTCCCTTTCTTCACTTCCCAGCACCTAAATGCGACGAACGTCTTTCCTCCTCCTCCTCCTGCACTGGCTGGCTGCTAGTGGCATTCCCGGCTCCCCTTCCTTCGGACGTCCCCTCGATGGGTCCCTTAGTATATCCGACCGGCTCGCCTACTGCGGACCGGCGCCCTGCAAAATTCCCCTGGAAAAGGCGGGCGGGCGGCGCCTCGGCACTTACTGACCTGCCGGCGCCAGGAGCCGCGGCGGCGCTTCTTCTCTGCCCGCCGAGTCGAAGCGCGGGCTGGCTTAAGGGCTCGGAGAGCGATCCGGGCAGGCACCGAGCGCTCGCGTGCCCATGCACCGAGCCGAGCCGCTCGCCAAAGGGAGCCTGAGCAGCAGCAGCAGCAGCGGCGGCGGCGGCGGCGGCGGCGGCACCGCGCGTCAAGCAGGGGTTGCTACTGACATCGCCGTTCCTGCTTTTGCCGCCTCGGTCCTTCGTTGACATGCAAAGCAGCTCGGCGACTTTCAGGCAAAAGGAGAGGAGGAGGAAAGGAGGAGGAGGAGGAGGAGGAGGCGGCGGCGGGGAGGGGGAAGAGGCGACGAAATGGCAAGTCCCACCCCGTCTTCAGCAGGGAGCGCTGCCCTGCCTCGGATGCTTGGGATGCGCCTCCTTGAAGGAGTTCAGGTCGCAGGCACCCTTTGATTCCCTTGGCTTGCCCCTGGCTTTGTCCCCACCCCCACCCCACCCCCGATGTGGGGGGTGCTTTAAATTTTGCCCCGCGCTTTGGGAGCTGGGTGGGGCTTGCCAAGTTTGGAAACTCCATAGACACGCCCACAAAACACTTTCTTCAGCTAGATGTCTCCCAGAATGTGGAATGAGCCTCTCTGGCTTGGAGTAAGTAAAGCATTCCTGGGTAGATTTTCTAATCTAAACAATTATATATGGAAGTGGTTTGCAACGGCTTTTCTTTTTTGACTTCTTAATATGCAGGTGGTCCTCGATTTACAACACTTCGTTTAGTGACCAGAGTTATAATGACACTGAAGAAAGTGACTTATGACCATTTTTCACATTGATGACTGTTGCAGCATCCCCATGCTGGTCACACGATCAGAATTCAGATGCTTGACAACGGGTTCATATTTATGACGGTTGCATTATACTGAGATCATGGGATTCCCCCCTTGAAAAACCTAACAAGCAAACACGCAATGGGGAAGCCAGATTCACTTAACAAGTAATTTATCAACTTGCAGTGTTTCACTCAACAAATGTGGCAAGAGAAGTAGTAGAATGGGGCAAAACACACTTTAACACATTTCTCACTTAGCAACATAAATGTTGGGCTCCGTTGTGGTTGTAAGTCGAGGGCTACCTGCATTGTAGAAGTCTTTATGCTAACCTGGTGGCTTCTGCACAAGACCCACTAAGATCAGCCCTAGTCATCTAAATGCTACCACTTGCTGCTGATGTGACCTGAAGGCTATTCTGTTTAACTCTGAAACCCGTAAACCAAGTGTTTCACACGCTTGGCAACCGACTCATATTTATGATGGTTGCAGCATCCTGGGATCATGTGATCCTCTTTTGCAAGCTTCTGACAAGCAGAGCCAATGGGGGAAGCCAGATTTACTTAACAACCATGTGAATTATTTAACATCTGCAGTGATTCACTTAACAACAGTGGCAAGAAAAGTCATAAAGTTTGGCCAAATTCGTTTAACAACTGTTTCACTTAGCAACAGAAATTTTGAGCTTAATTGTGGTTGTAAGCTAAAGAGTACCTGTATCTGAAAATGAAATTGCCTGGAAATTGCAGGCTTATATGTTAGATTGGAAATCCAAAGAAATATTCTACAGTGGCGAATCACTTCTATGGTATAGTTGTTATAGTGCTTCAGACTCAAAGCTGAAAAGATGCTTGGAGTAGATTAATTAATTAATTAATTTAATTTACTTATTGAATTTATATTGCCACCTATTCACCCGTGGCAACTTGAGGCGGCTTACAGAATGTAAAACCATATTTAAAAACAAACAATAAAAACTAATAAAAAGAATCAAATAAATTAATAAAGTACAATAGAACAAAATCTGGAAAAAAATAAATAAAACATCACCCCCAACTCCCACCCCACACCTCGATGGCAAAAGATCACATGGGCTCCAATCCCACTCTGGGGTCGCCATGCCCTCTGGCGGAACCAGGTCTTCAGTGCCTTCCAGAAGAGTATTAGAGAGAGGGCCATTCTAATCTCTGGATGAACAATGGTTACTTGCAAAGCTATACTTCTCTACACTTCTTTAAAAAAAAGCGATACCTTTTCTTGGAAGTATATGATAGAAACCAAGAGACGGTGAGTTCTAGTCCTGCCTTACACATGAAAGCTGATTGGATAACTTTGTACCAGGCAGCTTTGTAACTTGTGCACCATGATACAAAGTTAGGTGCAGGCGGCAAGCCAGTTAGTCAATTTCTTTTGCTACTATTGGATCAACAATGGGTTGATGCCCCTCCCCCCAAAGCATGCACTTGTGAGAAAATATTAGGAAGGGAAAAAAATAACATTTCTTAGAGCAGTCAGCTCAATAAATGATTTAGTATATTGGACACACAGTAGTACTTTGTCTATTTCATTTTACAGCATTCTTTCAATAAGTAAGATACCTGGTTCAAATCCCATCAGGCCGCTTTCTGTTGTTTTTTTTAAGTTTACCTTCCATTTTCTAGAAAGTAAATAAAGTTTGCTTACAGCAACAACTAAAGATTAACTATTTTCTTCTTCCTTCCCAAATCTGCAAAATATTTAACATTTATGGGAGCTGTTCAGTTGTGCACGATCTGAAGGAAAGTCAGAAAAGGAGAGCAACGTTGAATCTCAGCACTGAAATCATTCCCTAGCCTTGGACTCCTTACAGTGAAATCTACTATGGCTTCAATGTAGAAGCGTATTTTAAAGTCTATATCAAGGATAGACATAGAATTGTTGTTTTAAGAAATATATTAATCAAAAAGTATTTTGTAAACAGAATAAATAGAAGTATTAGTAATAGTT